TAACGACTATTACTTCCACAGTCACGTGTGTTTGAGCCTCTAAACGCTTCTAGTACCTACATGTGCATGCCTTTACAAAGATTTGGGAGTTTTCTGTTATCATTTCACTGAGTTTTTTATACCTGCAACCTGTGGCTTCTCTTCCTCAGGTATGCCAATGATCCGAGTATTTGATTTAGGAGTATCCTAAAAGCTCCTGTGTTTTCTCTTCATTTTTTTTTTCTCTTTTGTTCTGACACCAACAACCCAAAAGATCTGTTTTGGAGTTATTTTTTCTTCTGTCTGATCTAATCTGCTTTACAGGTTTTCCATTTGATCTTGAGAGCTATTTGTTTCCTCCACGATTTCTGCCCCGTTTACTTTCAGATCCTGTGTTGCTTTCTTTAGTTCATTTAACTGTTTGGGGTTTTTTTTGCTTTTCATTGTTCCTGTATTTTCTATGTTGAGAATTGTTCATTTGTTGGGATGGGTATCTTCTATGATATTGTATGATAGTCTTCTTAGTGTTTCTCTCTTGATAATGTGTCTTGGGAGGTATTAGTCTTGGGTTTGACACTGGTCCTTCCCAAATGAAATCTAGTCTGTATTTTACTTCCAGATTCTTCATCAAAAGTATAAGTAACATCATTCCACTTCCCCACAAAACCACCTGTGACTTGGAACTGCTTAAAATTTAACCTAGCAGAACACTAAGTTCTCTTAGATTTAAATTCTATTACATCTTTCTTTAGATCTAACCCACCATGAACAACAATCTATTAATCCAAAAGCTATGCACGGACAATATAGTTGGAAGCAATACAAAGGGCCTGACTTCATGGTGCTTATAATCTAGTGACAGAAGAGACTAAAGAGGAAAGGGAGGAGTTAGAGATGGCTTAGTGGCTAAGAGCAACTAGCTGCCTTTCCAGGAGACCCAGGTTCAATTCCCAGCACCCACAGACAGCTCATGACCATCTCACTCCAGTTCCAGGAGATCTAACACCTTCTTTCGTCTGGCCTCCTTGGGTACTAAGCATGTTTGTGATGCACAGACATACTTGCAGGCCAAACACTCATACACATAAAATAAATCCTTAAGCCTGGTACTGGTTATGGTGGCAAAGGCCTGTAATCCCAGCACTTGGGTGACAGAAGCAAGGTGACCAAAAGTTTGACATGCCAGCTGGATGGCACAACAGGTACCTGCCAAGCCCAACAACCTGAGTTTGAGATACCTGAACCCACATGATGGAAGGAGAGTCTGCTCCAAGTTGTCTTTCACAAACACCATGGTACTCAGGTTCCCCAACCTACGCACAAATAATCTTAAAACAGCAGATGGCCAATATTCTGTGACAAGAACCCAACTACTAATAATGCCCGTGTCTAGATTATAGTTATGGTCTTGGAGCGTTGAGCAAGCTTCTAATTTTGCATCTGGTCCTCGAAGACTAGGCCATATGAACCTCTTTAAATTTTATTCTGAAACAAGGCCTCACAGAGTTACCTAACCTGGCCTTGACTTCCTATCCTCCTGCCTTAACTTCCTGAGTACCTAAGATTGCAGGCCTGCACCACCTGGCCCAGCAATGCGCAAACGTGTGTATGGTGGCAATTCTTACAACACTCTAACCTGAGTCAACCTACATTAACACCTGGAGCTTTTGCTCTCTACTGGAACCAGAATACAATATAAAAGTTTGGCAGACAAAACAGAAAACTCCAACAAACATCTGTTTAAGAGAATACCATGTTAAAGTTCTTATAAATTACATACACACACATGTGCAGGCACATACATGCTGCCCCCCCTCAAAAAATCAGCTCAACTTTGAGAACATGATTCATCATCATTCATATCTTATTAACACTTCCAAAATAGGGATGGGCATGGTGATAGGCATTCAGTCATTTGTTTGTTGTTTAAGGCTCTTTATTATATAGCTCTGGCTATCCTGTAATTCACTCTGTAGACCAGGCTGTCCTTGGACTTAGAGATCCACCCGCCTCTGTCCACTTCATGTTGGGATTAAAGGTGTGAACCACTACACTAGATCACATGTATTTAATTCCAGAACTTGGGAGGCCCATGCAGTCAGGTCTGAGTTTTGAGGCTGGCCTGGTCTACTCCCTGAGTTCCGGGACAGCCAGGATTATATCTAACAAAAGGAACCTGTCTCACAGAAACAAACAACAACAAAAAGAAAACTTCCAAAAATAGAAAATTTATAGAGGAAGTGAAAAATGTGGCCCAAGAAAGCCACACCAGTCAGGCATAAGATCAGAGATGGAAGTGGAACCGTAAGAAGGATAAAGGAAGATAAAAAGATTATTCAATAGTAATCTTTTATGTGCATTGCTATTTTGCTGGCATGTGTATCTGTGTGAGGGGGTTGGAGTTACAGAAACTGTTTTTTGAGACAGGGTTTCTCTGTATTGTTTTGGAGGCTGTCCTAGAATGGCTCTGTAGACCAGACTGGCCTCGAACTGACAGAGATCCTCCTGCCTCTGCCTCCCCGAGTGCTGGGATTAAAGGTGTGAACCACCATGCCCAGCTACAGAAACATTTTTGGATGCTGGGAATTGAACCAGGGTCCCCTGGAAGAGCAGTCAGTGCTCTTAACTGCTGAGCCATCTCTCCAGCCCCCAGGTAAAGTCTCTCAACACCAATGTGCCCTCTTGATTTCCACACGTAGCCCCCCACAACAGAAGTTTTAAAGGAGGGATGCCCCTGTTTGTGTGTGGAGGCAGAGAGAAAACTCGGCCAGGTAACACAGCCCTACAATCCTGGTGAAGCCTAAGCCAGGAAGATCACATTTCAAGGCCAGCCTGTACTACTTAGGTATCTCAACAATAAAAACAATGAAAAGGCAATTCAAGGTACAAGTGGGTTGTAGAATACACCGAGGCCCTTGGTTCAATTGTGCTAGAGTCAACAGCAGTGGTTCTCAACCTAGAGGTCATGACCCCTTTGGGAGTGTTGAACAACCTTTTTCACAGAGTCCCCTATCAGATATCCTGCATGTCAGATATTTACAGCCCATAATAGCAGGAAAACTACAGTTATGAATTAGCAACGAAATAATTTTGTGGTTGGGAGTCACCACAACATGAGGGATTAAAGGGTCTCAGCATTAGGAAGGTTGAGAACCAGTGGTCATGAGACAACTCTTGTGTAAAGGGAAGCCTTCCCGCCAGCCTGGTTCCAGAGCTGCATCAGTCCCAAATAACACACAAGATGCTGTATTAATTATGAAGCTGTTGGCCTTGCTTGTTTCTTACTGGCTAGCTCTGACTTAAGTATTTATCCCATAATTGCTAATCTAAGTATTTCTCTTACCGGAGAGGTTTCCAGGCTTCTTACCCCATGGCGTTACTTCTTGACTCCCTGTGTTTCTCCTTCCCAGAGTTCTCCTGGACTCCTAGTTCCACCTATCTAGATTCCCTATTGGCCAACAGTGCTTTATTGACATAATCACAGGACTTCCCCCATCACTCTAGGAAGACAGGTATGTCAAAAATACCAGTAGGAGTTTGAATCTTCAGGCCTTGTAAACTGGCTAAAGGTGGAGAGTTACAGGGAGTAAGGTTCTAAAACGCTTGCACACCTGAACATTTTCCAATTCACAGGGGTTCCTGTGAACTGAAATCCTGCTTATTTTTGGAAAGCAAATGAAGAAATTCACACCAGATTCTCCTGTCAAAATCTCCAAGGCTAACCTTCCTTTCTAAAGGTGAGGAACAAGGTTAGAAAGACAAAACCCAAAGCACCAAGTAGAAAATGTCCTTATATTACCATTTACCATTTTATCATTAAGCATTAAACTTTCCCAATACCGTAAAGGCCAAAGTTGCCTTTTACAGCTCATGATCCATGTGTAGCCCTAGCATCGCTCACTAAGAATGCAGGTCACCAGGGCATGGCAAACCATTCCACACGACGACATTTTCCACCTAGAAGGCTTTTTTTTTTTAGAACTTCTCTCCAATGAAGGGGCTGAGGGTCAATTGTACAAGGCGCCTGGCATTTCATTTCTTCAACGCTGGAAGGTAACTCCTGAACATTTTCCAATTCACAGGAGTGTGAGTGAGCCAGGGGAGGTGTGTGTGTGTGTGGGGTCAGTCCATGTGCGGTCTTGGAAGCGGTGTTGGAGAAAGAGGTTCGCCAGTTGTATATGTGTGTGTGTGTGTGTGTGTGTGTGTGTGTGTGTGTGTGTGTGTGTGTGTCCTCCTGCTCTCCTCACAGCCTTGCAGGAGAAGCGTCCTGAGTCCTGTCGGGAAGACGCTGCTGCCCACAGAAGCCCCTCAACGAACAAGGTGTCATTAGCCGTTGGCTGGCCCAGCCTCGAACTCGCTCGCTGAGGCACGCACGCCTTTTCACTACAATCCCAACACGCCCTGAACTTGAATTCCGGGGTTAAGTTTCACCCACCAGGGATCTCTCTAGAACTTGCTTCCCTTGGAAAAGGCATGGCCCGCAAGACCCAGTTGCTGCAGCTCCGGGACTGGCCCGACTCTGGTCCTGCGGGGGCCAGGGCTGTGTGCGAGCTCGCGCCTCGGGTGCCCAGGGTCCCCGTGCCCGACCCACCGGTTCACCCCGCAGCCTCACCTCCCGGGACCCCGGGACCCCGTGCCCCAGCTGCAGAGCCCTGCGGAGTCTCTTCCCGTGACCCTGGAGACCCCAGGACCCACCCCAAGGGACCCCATTCCCCGCTCCGTGCCCTCCCCCAGGAAACTGCTACCCACGACCCCGCCTCACCTCCCGTGACCCTGACCCCACCCCGACCCCGCCTCCCGTGACCCTGACCCCACCCCGACCCCGCCTCCCGTGACCCTGACCCCGACCCCCCACCCTCGCCCGTGGCGACCCCGCGGCCGCCTCACCTCGCGCGACCCCGACACCTCCCAGCTAAAATTAGAAAGGGCGAGCAGCGCGCTCCCGTGTACGCGGCCGGCCCCCCCCCGGCGGACTGCGTGAGTCACCAGCCCCGCCCCCTCGCGGAGGGCGCGCTGACGTCAGGGCGCAGTCCTCGGTGGGTGACGTAAGCGCGCGCGGCGGAGAAGCCCTCGCGCTGGAAAGGTCGGGCTTCTGTCTTAAAGGGGCCGCGGCTGGCGCGGGGTCAGGGGACCACGAGTGTCGTAGCTGCGAAGCCACTGAGCCTCCCCAGGCTCGAGGACTCCCAAACCCGTGCACCCTGCGGAGTCGCTCGCTCGCCCGGGTGAGCGGCCCCGCCTGCCCCGTGAGCCCAGGCCCTGTCCCAGCCGCAGGGCTGCATTTGTGACGCCCGCGCGCGGGGACCCTGGGGTCCCTGTCTTCTCTGCTTCGTCATCTCCCCTTCCCGGCCACACGGCTGCCCGCGCTGCGTCCTCCCCGCGGGGCTGGCTCCACAGCCCTCACTTTGGGCGCCCACCCTGCGGGGTCCACCCTAGAGGTGTGCGGCTGGCAGCCGGGGCCGGGTCCGCCCCACGTGCCACACACGTGCCAGGCGCTCAGAAACGCCTCCCGTCCTCAGTCTCCACGCCTGTGTGCCCCGCCGCCTCCCTCCTGACCCTCATGCGTATGCCATTTCTGTTCTGCCCCGTGCCCAGCTCTGTGCCCCCAAGAGGTGGAGAAAGCCCAGGCTGCCCTGCCAGGTGCCCAGGGAGAGGCCGCAGGGCAGCCACTTCTTGGTGCGGGTGTCTGCAGCAAGCTACCCCATGACATCAGCGGAGGTCACAACCCGAGGTCTTGTGGCCTGTGAGAAGTAGAGTCCTAAGGACTTAACACGGAGCACACACACAGCACTCACGCACATACACTCACACACATACACTCACATACACGTACTCATGCACATACACATATGTAAACTCACACATACACATTCACACACATACACTCACACACATGTACACTCACGCATATACACTCACACATTCACACACATACACACGTAGACACACACAACACACACACACACACCCCTCTAACAGACCTGAGGGGCTCACAGTCAGCACACCACAGACACACCTGCACACCCGTGTTTTATGGATGCACTACTCACAGTAGCCAGATAGGAACCAACCCAGATGTCAATCAACCCATGGTTAAAGGACATGTGCTCTTTATATACTGTAGAATACATTCTATATTTATGTATTCGCCTGTAGGGTGGGTATGGGAGCCAGTGCCGAGGTGTACCTGTGGAAGTCAGAAGATAACTTGGCCCTTTCCCTCCACCATGTAGGTTGCAGGGATTGAACTCAGGCCCTCAGGCTTGGTGACAAGCCCCTTTACCTGCTGAGCCATTTTTTCTGGCCCCTGCAATAAGACTTTTCTTGGCAGAGAATGAAGATTGTTGTAGGAAAATGGATGCTCATTGTTAAGCATAAGCACACTTGAAAAAGTATAGTGTGTTTTCTGTTATACGTGGAGTCCAGAGTTAAATCTCTGTTGTGTGTGTGAGAGGGAGAGAGGGAGGGAGATGAAAGAAGGGAACTCAGAGCTAGAGACATGCGCCGGCAGCTAGGACTGCTCTGCAGAGGGACCTGAGTTCAGTTCCCAGCTCATCTGGCTCCAGGTCCAGGGGACCCTACACCTCTGGCCTCTGCAGACACTCACTCGTGCACATGCTCACACAGAGACACAAACCAGCCTCGTAGTTTAAAATGAATCTTTAAGACAAAAAGGGAGGGGCTTGGGATGAAGGGGAGCAAAAGGAGCTGAGAAGAAGAAACTGTGATGGGGCAAGAAGCCGAGGGAGGGAGGGGGCAGTGAGAGGTGGGGGGCACTGAGAGAGGACATTGGAAGAAGACAGTAAGAGCAAACTCTTAACGGCCTATGTGTGAAAACGTCACAGTGAAACCCTGTTCTTTATAAGCCAGACCAAGAAAATGATTGAAAGATGGGTGAGGGGATCCGAAAACAATTTAACAACAGCAAAAAAAAAAACAAAAACAAAAACAAAAAAAAACCCAGGCAGGGCAATGGGCACAAATGCGCAGTGGGCGGGAAGTGGGGCATGGAGGTGGCCTTGAGATCACAGGAGGAACGGGAGGTATGGCCCTCAGGACTGCCAGCTGCCCCCCACCCCTTCTCTCCCACCCAGCTTCCAGACAGGTGACCCCCGGGGGTGATTTTCCCCATGGGCTGACGCTATGAGGTCCACTGCTGTTTTTAAATCTGCAGTAACCAAGATCCTGTGTGTCACCCTGGGTTTCGACTTTCCGAGATCCCAGCTTTCACTCCCCACCCCAGGAGCCCCATTAAATGTCACTGAGAGCCATAAATGCAAGCCGCCACTAATGCGGAAGGATTGTGATCTCCGGCAAATGGCAGCAGCAAGCAAGGAGCAGGAACCCTTGGACCATTCCCAACCATGCCAGTGACTCACTTGGTGACACAATGCACCAAGCACACTGGGGACTGGGAGCAGTAGGCACACGCTCTCACGGGAGTGGGAAGGGATCCAGGGGCTAGGAGTCACCAGTGTTCCCTGAATTCCAGCATGGTAAAACTCGTGGCTGAGTCTGACCGACTCCATGGTAATTCCCTAGCAGTGGTGTGCTGGTGAGCCGTGAGCTTTGTCCACTAGAGTGTTCCTGTTTCAAACAGTGCTCCTAAGATGGTTGGGCAGGATCAGGACACTTGTCCTTCTGTCTCGTGGGTCAGAAATGCACCCTGCTTATTCCTTTGTAACTTGTACAGCTGCACCCCCAGGGACTTCCCTGAAACTTGTTCGTTTATACCGCAGCCTGTCCGGTCCATTAAATAACTTAAGCTTTCCCATTTCTGTAGACGTTTAGGTCTTAAAATGAAGGGAAAAGGGTTTGCTGTAATAATAACAGTAACTTTATGCTTATAAATGTTACACATAAAATAATAATTGTAATTGGATCGTTGTTTTCTTATTGCATTTATTTGTGGTCGTCATGCTTGCGGGGGGGGGGGTCAGAAGACAACTTGTAAAAGTCAGATCTGTCCTTCCACTATATCATGGACCCTGGGGACCCAACTCAGGCCGGCAGGCTTAGAAGCAAGTGCCTTAACCCGCTAAGCTACCTGGCTGGCCCTGAGAAGCTCTCAAAGGCTTCTCATTTCCAGCCAATGCCTTATTCTCTGCCCACATCTATCCTCACCTCCAAACAGTTATTAGTAGGGGAGGAGCCTTGAGGGCATAACTGCACATAAAAATGTGTGTAAATGACTCCTGAGTCCTCCAAGGCCTTACCATCCCTGGCCACACCCGGTGGATGCTTGTCTTACCTAGGTCTGTTTTTTATTGTCAGCTTGACGCAACCCAGAGCCACGTGGATTGAGTGGATCTCACGTGAAGAGTCGCCCCATCAGACTGGCCTGTATCTGTAAGGAATCATCTTGACCGATGATTGGTGTAGGAGGGCCCAGACCACACTGGGCGACGCCACGCCCAGTCAGCTGGACCAGGGCTGTCTAAGAAAGTCAGCAGAAGTAAGCCAAAGAGCAGAGCAGCGAGCCATCTTCCCCCTGGCTTCTGCTTCACCCACCTGCCACGGCTTCCTCCGGTGAGGGACCCCTTAAACTGAAATAAACCGTGTCTTCCCAGGCTGCTTTCCGTCACAGTGTTTCTCACAGCAACCGGAAACAGACCAGGACATTCCAGTTCCAACTATGTGACGTTCCAGAAAGAGGCAAAGGCAGTGAAAACATCAGGGGCTGCCAGGGAGTGAGGTGGGGAGTGGTCAAAGCACAGGGGCTTTCCTTTTGTTTTTCAGAGAGAGGGTTTCATGTAGCCCAGGCTGGCCTCAAGCTCAATGTATGTAGCTGTGTAGTCAAGGATGGCCTTGAACTTCTGATCCTCCTGTCTCTACTTCCTGAGCACGGGGATAATAGGTGTGTGTCCAGAGCACAATGAAATAAATGACTCTTGGTGGCACTGTCATGGGGGATACCTAAGTCAAGCCCTGTGATCCCAGCACTCAGAAGGTTGAGGCAAGAGGATTGCTCTGCTTTGAGTTCTAGACTAGCCTAGACTACATAGTAGGTTCAGGTAAGCATGGGCTGCATAGTTCTAGACTAGCCTAAACTACATAGTGGGTTCAAGTAAGCATGGGCTGCATGGTTCTAGACTAGCCTAGAGTATATAGTGGGTTCAGGTAAGCATGGACTGTATGGTTCTAGACTAGCCTAGACTACATAGTAGGTTCAGGTAAGCATGGATGGGCTGCATTGTTCTAGACTAGCCTAGAGTATATAGTGGGTTCGGGTAAGCATGGGCTGCATAGTTCTAGACTAGCCTAGACTACATAGGGGGTTCAGGTAATCATGGGCTGCATGGTTCTAGACTACTCTAGACTACATAGGGGGTTCGGTATGCATGGGCTGCATGGTTCTAGACTAGCCTAGACTACATAGTGGGTTCGGGTAAGCATGCCACATAGCAAGGCAACTCCGTCTCAAAAAAGCATATACACACAAAAGTTGTTTTAACACAAACTCACAGAATGTGTGCACCATAAGGGCAAATGCAGACTGTGGGTGATAATGACAAGTCAGGTGGGATTATCAATTGACCTTCCAGTGGGGAATGAAGACAAAAAGAGTAGCTGTGCCCTGTACGGGGACAGGGGATATTAGTGAAATCTCCATACTCTCTGATTTATTTTTATAGAAAAATAAACAAAACTGCTCTACAAGTTTACTCTATTAGAAACCAACCAAACAAAGCCAAGGGATGTGGCAGTGCCTCTCTGTAAAGCTCGGTGCTCTGTGGAGTCTCCCAGGCAGACCTGGGCTGAAATCTGAGCCCCAGCACTGGTCAGCTCTGTGACCTTGGGAAGTCACTTAACCCTCTGGTCTCAGTTTCTCCAACTCTGCTGGGGTTGGACCAGCTTCCTCGGGACATTTTGAAACTAAGTGGGGAACACCGTAAAGAGTCTATCATAGCACCTGGGACACGTACTCAGCCCCTCTTCCTGGCTTGGATCATCGTATCCTCTGTCCTACCGACTTCACACTCAGCCCAGTGGAAGATGGCTGTCTGGAGTGAAGACATCTCTGGAAAGGAAATCTGCATGTGAGGGTGGCTTGTCGCCTGATGCTCAGAGGGGCTACATCCCCCACCCTCACCCCCGAGAGCCCCAGAGTCAGTGTCTAGCCCCTCACTCAGCTTCTTCCATGGAAAGGTCAGGATGACAGAGGTCACCATATTTAGATGATGGCTCGCAAGGCAGCCTCGGTGGGTTAGTCACCTATAGTATGACATCATATTGCCACTCAGTAGAGTAACAGCTGCTAGTTGCTTTGGGGGGCAGGGGAGGGGTCAGCCCCAAACAACCAATCGTGCCTTGAGGATAAATTGGATAGGACCAGAGCAGACAGGAGTAGGGAACAGACACTCCTCTAGACAGGATCTCCCAAGGATTTCCCAAAATGTAAGTCTTCATTTTTCCTTGTTTGGGGAACCAGTGGGAGAAAACGCATACTCCAGAATCTTTTAGCCAGGGCATGCCCTCCTGGGGTGATCTACACCCTGGAGCCGACTCAGGGTGAGGGTGCTGGGTGAGACTCTGCTCCACACCAGGGGCAGGGCCAGCTTGGCTATTGGTGTGATGGTCCAGCCTTACCCTAGGCAAAGCTCTGATCCCACCTGGGGTGGTGATAACTCACCCCCGGAGGCCATAGGGCTTGGTTCAGCCCTCAATCCCCGTGTCCTCCCCTTGGTACTCTTGTGGCCCCTGTGCTTTTGGAGTTGGAATACTGTCAGCAGTTGTGTGGTCTCGGGGACTACCTTGGGGCCTCTCCCACAGCTGCATTGCACCAAGTCCAGAGTGACCAAGTGAGGGTCTTCAGCATGCAGGAACTAGAGGGAGGGCAGAGATCACGGCTGGAAGCCTGTTCTGATGCAGACATGATTGCGTCCTCTCTCTCTTTAGACTCTGTCTCAAACCTCAACTGCAGTAAGACGTGCGCTTGACTGGGGCTCCTTCCTACCCAGTTTGGTCCTCTCCGGGTTCTTTCAATGTGAAAGACATGTGTCTTGGCCAGAGTAGAAAGAGCATAGGACTGGAGGGGTTTGTTGCTTGCTGTGCAACTTTGGTCGGTGGCATGCCTTCTCTGAACCTCTTTCCCTATTTATAAACTGTAACTGTAAGGAGACCTTGGTGAAGGAATGTATTTGAGGGTCTTTCCTGAGGCGATGTAAAGGTATTAAGTGGTGCCCTGGGTTTGACTGGAATGCTAGTTAAAGCTGGCTGAGGGGCAGGCCACTGGGGTTACCTGAGGGTTGGCTGGTCATGGGGAGAGTCATGGTCAGCCAGCCTGTGGGAGCTTCCTTCTGATGCAGACTTCCTGGTTCCTGATATTCCCCGGGAAGCTGAAGGAGAGGAGACAGGATACCCGGATAGCCCTGAAAAGTAGCTGCCCGCTGTGCTTGATACCCAAACGGGCGCGGCTAAAGCCGAGAGGCCAGGGAAGCCAGGCAGGGTGTGCAGTCCCCTCCATAAGGAGTGGCCTCTCAGGTCCTGGGGACACCCCCGGAGAACGGTCTTGGACCAGCTTCTCAGGAGCCCTCGCCGCAGCAGCCCTGGAAATAACACCCGATCGGTGACTAGTCCCCACCCACCCTGGGACAGTCACAGAGTCTCTGCAGAAACCCCACACTCCTGTCTTCCTTCATTCGAGTAGATGCCCCCCAGCCCCACCACCCACCCCGGCTGGCGCAGTCCCTGTGACTGTCCTTTCCTTCCTTCCTTGCAGCCGCCACAGCGATGATTGACAGCTCCTGTTCTTGGAGCCCCCGGGGTGATTTCACTTCCCTCCCAGAGCGGGGCGGGGGTGGACCGAGCAGGGTCCGTTTTCCTTCTGGTTCTGGCTGTTTTGAAGTCCCAGGTGCTGAGGCTCTTGGGGCTAGAGGAGATGATGGCCAGGGCCGAGCAGGGCTGCCCGGCATCTGACTCATCTGACATTACCATAATTACAGCGACTTTTCAAGCTGTGAGTAATGCCCGGTGTCAGAGAATGTTACTGAGCACCCCCCTGCTCGCTGCTCAGGGCAAGCCAAGGGCAGGGAAGTGACCCGGGGCACCCCGAGCCTCGTCTGGCAGGCGACCCAGGGGCTCCAAGAATTGCGCTCCTCTGGGACCACTGCCTCTGGTCTTTACAATCTAATTTTTCGTTTATCCAGATCTAGGAGAAGATGTGTTTAAAGTCTTTGGCAATTGTCTGGGCATAAAGGTTCACAACTGTAATCTTGACGCTGGAGAGGCTGAGCAGGAGAATTGCTGTGAGTTCGGGCCAACCTGGGCTACACAATGATATCCTGTCTTAAAAAATAAAATAAAATAAAAAGTCTTTGGGAAAATATAGAGAGAGGAAAATAAAGGACTAATGGGCATACCCTATGTATTATTTCTAAAACCTTTAATGCAGTATGAAGAAAATTGTTGAAAATTCTTCTTTCAGAAGGGGGAATGCCTATATATAGCATATATTATCTATATAGTGCTGTTACTTATTGATCTGATTTTGCTATGCCAGGTTTTGAACACAGGCCTTGAACATGCTAGGTAAAACATACTCTGCTCCTGAGCCTTATCCTCCAGTCTGTAAAAATGAAACTGCTTTTGGACACAGTCTCAGGTAGCCCAGGCTAACCTCATACCCAAGGTACAGACTAGGATAACCTTGGACTCCTGATCCTCCTAAGTCCACCTCCCGCACACTGGATTATGGATGTGAGCCTAGTTTAGGTGGTGCTGGAGATCACACCCAGGCTTCACACAAGCTAGCACTCTTAAGCTACATTCTCAGCGCCTTTTAAAAACTTTCTATAGCCGGGTGGTGGCGGCGCACGCCTTGAATCCCAGCACTCGGGAGGCAGAGGCAGGCGGATCTCAGTGAATTTGAGGCCAGCCTGGTCTACAGAGCGAGTTCCAGGACAGCCAGGACTGTTACACAGAGAAACTCTTTCTCAAAAAACAAAAACAAAAACAAACCAACAACAACAACAAAACCCTGTTTTTATTTGGAGAAAATCTTGCTAAATTGCCGGGCTGATCTTAAACCCATTCTGTAGCTCAGGGTTACTCCAGGCAGACCTTGAACTTGCCATCCATCTTCCTGCCCCAAGCTCTGAGTACATGAGATTACATGCCTGTGTCATGCCACAGGCCTGGTTCATTCTCTCTCCTTCCTCCTCTTCCATCCCCCTAAATCCGGTTTTCTTTCTTTTCTTTTCTTTTTTCCCTTATTTTTATATATGTGAGTCTTTGTGTCCACACGTAGATTTGTGCTCCTGTGAGTATTGGTGTCCAAGGAAGCCAGAAGAGGGGTTCAGATCCCTTGGAGTTGAACTTACAGGTGTTTGTAAACTGGCATGTGGATGCTGGGAACTGAACTTTGGTCTTCTGAAGAGCAGTGTACATTCTTAACTGTTGAGCCATCTCTCCTGACCTCGTATAAAGACAAGCAGATAATTAATAATAATAATAAACTACCAACAATAACAACTATAACCAGACATGGTGGCACACAGCTTTAATCGAAGCACTCGAGAGGCAGAGGCAGGCGGATCTTTGAGTTCGAGGCCAGCTTAGTCAATTTCC